ATTTTGACGTCATCTGTGATCTATTACTGAACAGACGCACGGCAACATGGAATCTATTTGTTAAGTATAGCGCTTTATAGAGCTGTATAGGGGTGTGTATAGGATGTACACTTCATGTTATTACATGTAGTTTCCTCTTGACCCTCACTAGATGTTTTATAGTATTCTCCGTGCTCAACTGGTCCGCCATCTTGATGAACATTAAGTAATTCATAAACGTTCATGAAATCTGTGAGGACTTCTTGAATCTTATTACACAAACCCTTCCTGACTAGACGGAAGTTCCGATATTTACCCGGCCACAATTGTACACACTGAGAGGACGAAAGCAAAACAAATTGTTCTGAAACGTTGATCAGCGGGTATGAGTTCAGTAAACACGGAAGCTGATCTTGAGGGGCATTTACGGGATCAAGACGAGATTCTTGGCGGAGAACAAGGTACATGTAATCGTTACGATATTGGAAATTTCATACACACCAGGGACTGCATTATCTCTGACCTCTGGCTATAAATACTGATTTTCTAGGACGCGCAGATGTACAGACGGTTTACAATACTAACCCATAATCGATCCATTACTCAGGGAAACCGAAACTGTTTTACACTGAAACAGATGCTAATGCTGGGACGCTTTAATCTCTCCATTCTGTACAACATTTTCACGCCGGCAAAAATTGTCTACCATTGTTAGGCGAAGTGCTATGCAAGAAAACACGAATTGTGTATACTAGCAATCACAGAATACTTTAACATAGAAAGAGGAGAATAAGAAGAACGAAACCGGAAAACACCTATTACTTTCCCTAACTTCCGCTTCTAGGGATGAAATCGTTTAGAAAATATATCAACGTACTTTCCTGGAAGAAGTGCCTATAGATACAGATTGTACGAATACATACATGTAAACTCAAAACAGCAGAGGATGATTCTAAATCATTAAGAGCTACCGTCGAGGACAGTGAGATTATTTCTTGAAACATGCCTCAGGTGGCATGAGTTCATGAGAACGGAAGCCTCTGTTATGTTATCATTCATCTCATAACTGAGGTTCGAAGGTAATATACGATAAAAAGTCTCTTTTTATTTATTTACATTACAATTAATGGAACTAAAAACGTTAAACTTGCATTTATTTTTGAGTTATTTTTTTGTAAAAAAAATACCTCTTAGTCAGCGTGTCGGGTATGTTATGGACGGGTCAATGGATGAGTGAGTGAGTGAGAGATGTATGAATGTCACACCAATCAGATTGGATCTACTATAAACAGCCAATCAAATTTCTTGTTGTAAAGGTAAATGGTATGTGAGAAGATTTGATCCCAACGCAGTTTAGAATGGCCATATTTATTCTTCTATAAAAGAGGAGGAATTATTCATATATTGGGCTTCCTTTGACATTTTCTGTGGGTTAGGCTGAGGATTTTAGTTACGAACGAGATGAGCCTTGAGGTTTGAAACAGTTCATGAGTTCGTAGTATGCAAATGCAACAAGATATTTCTATTTTTAGTTACAAAGGTAACTTGATACTTTTGTTTTTCACAAGGAGTAAATTCAATTAGAGGTCACGAATCGTGCCTCTAGTTCTTAGGACATGTTTTAGAGGAGACGAGACTATTTACATTTGAAACAGTTTGAATGTTTACAATAATAAGTCCAGGTAACGATTGTTTTGTTCTTGTTGCATGCAAATATAACGAGATATTTTTATTTTTTTAGTTACAAAGGGTAATTTGACACTCTTGTTTTTCACAAGGGAGTAAATTCAATTAGAGCCGACAAATCGTCACCACTCTTTCCCACGAAATGTTTGCTATCTTTAGTTACAAATGGTTACTTAACACTGTTGTTTTTTATATGGGAGTAAATTCAATTAGAGCTGACAAGTTATCGGCTATTGTTCTCAGGATATTAAACAAAAAAGGCTTTCATTTCTGGACGGTTTTTACGTTTCTGCAGTAGCAGTTTATTTTTATTTGATGGGCATTTTATGACATTCTGTTCAGTCCAGTATTTTTAAAGGTAAAAAGTATCAAAACTGCTAAAATGTTCTTTGAAGACTGCATGGCACCAAGTTAAAGTGCAATTTAATTAAATCAGACTTTCAACATGTCAGAGAGTTTTTTTTTCTCTTTCTTTCTATTTTCGGTGAAGTAGTGTTGTTGTGTTGTGTAGTGTCAAAACGGTAAACTTACGACTCGTATAAAATGTGGAAAGGTCTCTTAACTTGAGTATTTTTGAGCAAAAATTCCTCTTGGGGGTTGGAAGGGCTATGTGATCAGTGAGTGAGGGAGTTATGCGTGTGCACATGTCACACCAATCACAGTGTGGGTTTTATCAAAGAACAAATCTAAGAAAAAAATAAGATGGTATCTACATTAATCTGGAGACGCGTCAGATTACTGTAGTTTGTTCAGTCAAACATTTTATGGCTTCCTATTTAGCTATCTTACCATTACCGATGTAGCATCGTATGTACATTATAAATTCCCAGTTTCTTTCTTGCTGTACATCGCAACCAAAAACACTTGTCAAATTAACCAAATCAATACTGTAAACAGCTCCATGAATGCTCCTATCTCCGAGACTTCACAAAACAATAGCTTTTGCATGCCTTGCGTGCCTATATTTAAATTGTGATACTAATTAGGGCGATCGCTTAACTTTAAATATCCCAAAAGAAGCGCTATCTAACTACGTAGGTTACTATTAATAGTGTTTCACGTACATGTAGATGTAGATAGATTCTTAAATTCATAGCCGGACTTTTTAACTCTATACACACGTTTCAACTTTGCTGTTCTTTCCGTAAGGATCAGGCCAACAATAGTTTAAGAATTTATAGATGTTTAAAATATACAAATGTTTAGGACGAACAAAACGAAATAAATTGTTCGCCCCAGTTGATTCGTTGACCCTTAAATGGATATAAAAATTTAAACGAAAAAAATATTGAAAACTGCAATGTGCTAGCATTGCAAAAAACGTAATAATGCTACATCAACAGATCTTACCAGAAAACAGGAAAAATTATAAACACCAAGGCTAACACTATTAAAAGACGGATAGCACAGTAATACCTTGATATAGCCAGCATAATCGCAGGTCCTTCACTTATCACATGTTCAAAGAACCCTTAATTCCAGCTACCAACATGTCATAGAATAACGCGCGAGTAAAGCGACCGCTTAATAAATCCTCTTCTGTAGCAAGCATAGCATCTGCTTCATAAAGAGCCAGCCAACATACAGGCTGTAGTAAACCAAGAACACAAAGTGTAATGTGTTACCTTTTTACTCCTAAAATTATGCAGGAAATGCATCTGATGATACGCAGCTGCTGCTGCATGACCCCTACCAACATCCATTTCACGTCACCGTCCAAGATCCCCCTGATATTCAAGTTGAGATAACAGACTTGAAAGATGTCTATGACAAGTTTCAAATCAAGAAAGTGCTTACATCTGAAGAAGCCGAGAAATCTTCTACATCTGAACAACGTATTGCTCAAGGCAAGGTCAGTGGAGTAGTTTGGACATCTGGCCAAATTGAGACGATCACAGCATTTGTTCAGCGCACTCCTGAGGCAGCAGAGAAGGCCCATGACACTATAGGTTTGTACACGTGTCTTAAGTGAGGTACCTAAACCCGGCATAATAAAATTTAGGATTGCATTTCGAGAAAGAGATAACAAGAATTAGATGCAGAAATATTGTGGTGACTGGAAGGGGACCAGTACATTTCAGCTACAGATGCAGTGTATAGTTAAAATTTGATTGCATTCTCTTTTGAATTTGCTTTCTTTGATCACATAATTCAGTATTACTGTAGGTGGTAACTTCTTCAATGTATCATTAACTTCAAGAATCACCTTTAATTTTGAAATTTTGTCTTCCAGTTGTGTTTGTCACACATCCAATAGAGGAATAAATAAGACAGATTTTTGTAGTTGTAGAAACTGTATTGTGGTGCTTTTCTTTCCTTTTAACTTTAGACTGGCTGGGTTGTTTTTTAGCAGGAATTTCAGCCATAGCATGGCCAAGTAACATTTCAAATTTTTAGTTGGTCAAATTTCTATTATTTGAACCTAAAATGTTGTTCAAACGCCCCACTAAAGGGTTAAACTGCATTGCATGCAATCAAATGCCCCCAAACCCAGAACATACATGGCAGGAGTTTCATTAACGTTTTCAGCAGGAGGGCAACTTGTTTTCACAGGTGGGCAAAACTATTTGAACTGAAATTCTAAAATAGAATAACTTTCCTCCAGATGGTCAAACCAGGCGGGAAAAATCGTCCTCACAACCAGTCAATTTGCCCAGTGCCTGGCCCTTAATATAAACCCCTGACATGGTATAAAAGATTAATGGAAAAGAAAAACATTCTCCCTCCAACACCCACTTTTAACTTTCACTATGTCCCAGGTATTGTTTTTATATACCATTAAAATACAAGTGGTTAAATTTTGACAAGTGAAATTATTTATTTAATTTCAAACACAGCAAAAAGCTTTTGAGGGCCTTTCTTTTCCAGACAAAATGTTGCAAAGAACAGTGCTGTCTGCTGATGACTTCTACCTTGACCTTGACTTCAAAACAAGTTCCCCCTTAACCCTCCCATATGAGCTCATCTGGTGTCAAATGCCCCAACGTAATGACAACCACTGATGTCAAATTCATACTTTCCTTGGTACAACAAATTTTCAAATGCCCAGGGTACATGTATACCCAGGGCGTGGATGTTTATGTCCAGTTTTGATCAACACAAATTAGAAACTTAAAATAATTTGATCATAGATTTCTTACATTTTTACAGGACCTGTGGAGCTAAGAGTTAGTTATGAAAAACATGGAGTGCAATCAATTCATTTTTCGATTGATCTGGATTCGGTATACAAGACTCCAAAAGGAGAATTGGTTTATTCACTTGACAGAGTAGAAATGGAGATGCGGAATATGTGGCAACTTGTTATCGTTGTAGAACTCATTGATGGTTCAACACAACAGTTCACATCAAAAGAGTTTCGCATCAGAACAAGACCAAGGCCACCACCCAAGCAGCCTGCAGGTACATGTACAATGTACATACACAGACATACAGTGTATATAGTAGTAGAATTTGTGAAGAATTTGTTTCAAGTTTAAATATGACATTCCCTATTTCGTTTATTTAACTGTTCAGCATAAACACAAGAACTTGTAGTTAGCCAAAAGAAGGGCAAAAATGTACCATTGATCTACACGTGTGCTTCACTAGGATTGAATGGAATTTGACCAATATTTCAAGTGCACACACACAATTTTAAAGCTTCATTGCATGGAAAAGATTATTTTTAACACAATATAAATTATAGAAACCTTGATCAAATAAGGTTACCAGTATATCATATTATTTATCTTAGTTTTAAAGTTCTGTAGTGAGTGTAATCTAAAGTGAATTAAAATGACTACAAGGAAGACCATACATGTATTTGAAACTATAAATATAGTAGGATTTTGTGTTTAAATAAAGACTGACTTGACTTAACTTGACCACAAGAGATAGTCACCTCCCACTCACCAATTTAACCATTGTAATTAATAATTGTTTACTTTTCTTAATACGACTATTAATATTAATATCAATATTAATATTAATATCAATATTGATATTAATATTAACATTAATATTAATATACAAATGCTTGTACTTCAGGATCTACTGATCCAGTGACTGGTAATACAGCTAAAAGAAAACGACCAGAGATAGGTAAGTAAGTGAGTGAAATCTATATTCACTGTTTCAACATAATTTTAACCAAAGCAAAACACTTGAATGATATAATAAATAATTTATAATACTGTAGCTGCTGCTTTTTTGCAGATTATCTTAATTTAATATTCACTTACTATACAGGTAACTTCTGATTGTCGTTCCTCTGAGATGTCCAGTGATGCATAACTTTCCACTGTTTGTTACAGGCAACCTTTTAGAAAAAGTATAGGCAATGGTAAATTCTAACAGCATGATTTAGAGTTTAAATACATTAGATATTATACATACTGGTGTACATACTTTATTGAAGCTCCCTACATGGGTTTTTCAGTATCAAAATAATTGTAGTTGATAGAAATTAAACCTCTATTTAGATAATCTGGTCACTTTCCCATAAACTTGCCTGTATTAACAAATACATGTATACAGGATATTACATAGCCAGGAGGAGATATAAATTTCTCTTCTGGCAGTTGAATCGAACTTTTAACAGATTTGATTTTTTAACTTGACCAGTGTTGTGTTGCTCAAGCAAGGTGATTGAACACAGTTTCAGTTCAAACAGTTTTTTATTGTTCCTTGACACTGGCTACTGATAGGAAAAATCATCCCGGAGGAAGAAAGCTTGTACTGTACATGAACTAAGAACCTGTTGGTAATAAAAACCTACTTTGAAATATTCTGTAGGTTTCAAAATGTCCACTCAGATCAATTACTACCTTTCTGATTCAGATTCTCACATGTCTGGAATAAATGGAAGTCCTCATAATGCCAATGGATCATCATATTCAGGTACTAGACTTTTAAAACAATAACCTACAAATTCACTTTTAGATAAATGAACAAGTAGAGTGTGGGAAACTAAATTTTGACAGCACTCACCATTCGGGTGAGTAACTCTCAAAATCCACTCGGCCACAGTAATTTTCACTCGCCCAGAAAGATGCCTCCCCTCCTCAAGAAAAATCTCCGCAATGATTCACAAACCAATGATATGTTTTTTTGGTATCTCATAATCACAGACACCCAGCTTGCCATTTTGTGTGAGTGGCCTTGTTCTGGTCCATTTACTAGATGCCTCCTCAGGATCGTGGACAGATTTTACTTTTATATATTGTTTTTATCGTCAACTGTTGACACTCCTTAGAAATTTTTCTACATTTCAGTAGTCTAATAACTGAAAAACAGCTAAACAAAGTCAGCTGGCACCACTGAATTGACATATATCCCTAGAATCGATATCCTGACGTACACAACTTGTCAGCACGTGGAAGACTGGCATTTTTCCTTCAATAAAAAATTATACTTAAAGACCTTAAACCCAAAGATGACTACAACAGAGGCACTTAAATTTTCAAAGCAGTTTCTGTTTCAAGATGACACTAGCAGTATCAATTCATACATGTGTAGCTGTTATGTAAATTGTCACTGTAGGAAGCCGTATTTCATTATTTTCTATTTATGAAACACTACGTTCTGTACAAGTGGGCCTATGCCATATCGCGGCCCTATGCCCCACTAGGGGCTATAAGGAATGATGATAATGATGTTCTGTTACTGTATTATTGGCAAATTATTTGGGCATCTTGAAAGAGTAGGGGGAGCAGCTGAAAAATATGGTGTTTAAAAAGGGGCCCACTCTAAATATTACCTTATTGACAGCTTCCACAGTAGTACAAAATGTTCTGCCATAATTCCTAAAATAGCAATCCTGAAGTTCTGAAAATTTAAATATTTCACAGGGGAGCATGCCCTGGGGCCCTCCTACTTTGTTAGGTACCCTACAGCAGGAACTAAGCCCCTAATACAGTGTAAGCATTTGGTTGCTAAATATACAGTACCTCAACCTCCAAAAAGAAACTCCCTTTGATAAAACTGAGGCAACGTCAGCTTTTTGTCATGCTTTTGGCTATTTTCACCTGAATATAGGTATTGTAATGACAGCATCTATAATAGTGCAAAAGTTCTGCCATAATATCTAAAATATGTGTAGTGTTCCTGGGGTTCTGAAAATTCAAAATTTTTCCAGGGGAGCATGCTCCCAAACCCCCCTACTATGCTAGGTACCCAGCAGCAGGAACTAAACCCGTACTAAGAATTTTGTTGCTAAATACAGCTGAACCTCCATGAGTGACCTCCCTTAAGAAAAGGCAACGTCAGCATTTTTTTAGGCACGTTGTCTATTTGTATTTGAATATGGGTGTTGTGATGACAGCATCTATAATGTGCTAAAGTTCTGCCAGAATGCCTAAAATAACGTTTCTGAAGCTCGTAAAATATGATTTCAGGGCTCGGAAAAAAGTGCAGAACAGTCATCCAGGACAAATAGATTTTCCTTCTGGGCAAGTAGCTTTTCATTCCCACTTGCCCAACGGGCAAGGGATTAGGCAAGTTGTCTGTTAACTAAAGCATTAAAAGAGCAAACTAAGACTTGCCAGGGGAAGCAAAATTTGAGAGCTACTTGTCCCAAGGGTCCAGACCACTCAATTCAGAGTCAAGCGCACTAACCATGAGGCCACCACACCCTGGCCAGGAACATTGTGTAGTGTTCTCGGGCAAGACACTTTAGTCTCACAGTACCCCTCTCCACCCAGGTGTATAAATGGGTACCGACGAATTTAATGCTGGGGGTATTCCCACAATGGACTAGCATCCCATCCAGGGGGAAGTAGAAATAATCCTAGTCACTTCATGCTACAGAAACCGGGATAAGCTCTGGCCTGATGGGCTACTTGGCTCGTATGCAGACTTAACCTGTCCCAAGGCCAAGTTGGAATTCAAATTTTTTTGGGCTCTGAATTTTTCCTGGAGGAGTATGCCTCCGGACCACCCTACTTTGAACACTGTAAATACACTCAAACCTTCACTACCAACCATGCAACTCCCTTTCATAAAACAGTCACGACAATGTAATCTTGGATTTAAGTCCTCTTTGTCTATTTTTATGACAAAACAACTGGTACAGTGTCAAAAACTGCTTAAACCGGCTTGAAAATGGTATCATTTGTTCTTTTATGTTTTTTAGACTTAATTTTCATGGGGGTTAACCCAAAAAGTTAGGGGTACGAGGGAGGGGGTCAGGTAAAAAATTTCTGATGAAGAGGGGGGTCATTTTGTGTAACAGGGACTGTCTATCAAATCCCACCAGCCCCCCTCCACCCATAAAAAAACAAATGGTCTCTGATAACAATATTTTAGCAAACCAGCATCTTAGCACATGCCTTCGATGTTTGCATATTAACTTTTTTAAACCAACAATAAAAATATTTTTGTATGTAACTTCATTGTGATTCCACATTCATGAATAACTGCAAAGATCTTTCTCCAAAATCTTTTACTGACAGTTTGTACAAGTAATTCATATACTATATTATTATTACCCACAGGGGATAACTGAGTTTTTGAACCTCCAATGGAAACAAAAATTGGTTTGAAAAATCAGGTAGTTCGAGAAATCAGGGATAAAATTAGAGTGACTTTTGGTTCAAGTTATTGGGAGGTTGAAAAATCCAGGGTTTGAGAAATCAGGATTCCACTGTACATGTATACTAAACTATTGTTATTATGTTGATCAAGGCACTGGTAACTCTCCTTCTGGATCAGCTACACTGACAGACAAGAACAGTAAGTATTCTGTTTCATACAATTCAATAGATGTCAAAAGACAGCTAAAATAAATCATAATAGCTCTGATTGACTGAATACATCAGTCTCTCCATCCCAAGATGCAATACCATCACATTTGGAGACAGGGCTTATTCTGTGGCACCCACACAGTTTAGGAATTAACTTCATTTAAATTCATATAAAAATGAAAACCTCATCAGTTTATAAAATAAAATCCATTGTTGAATTCACAGTAAATAAATTATATGGATAGCTACACGATGATACATGTAAAAGCTTGAACGTAAATATTTTTTCAACCAAACTTCAATGACCATCAACTAAAATCACATTATCAGAAAGAGTACTTATTCAGACCCAAAATGGGTAAAGATGGTGTCATAAATTATTGGTAGATAAGTAAGCTGTCGCTAAACTTTAGCCATGGTGTCATCAACATGGCTGGAGGGGTGGGCCACTACCTATACTGTATTGACATGTCTATTCATATGGCTTTAATACCTAATAACACAGTGCACCATAATAGCTAAAAACTACAAGACACCATGGATATATACACGTACATGTAGGCAACACTCAGACCTTAGGCGTTGCATGCTAGTCATTAGAAAATTTAATTAATGGCACGCCTAAAGACCAAATTTGTCTCTCACATTAGATGATACAAAGAAAAAGGGGAGAAAAACATGATAATAATACCACATTTTCTCATGTGCTCATACAATTTTCCTAGCCTGAAAAACATAATTAGCTACAATAGCAAGCTAGGTGATAACAATACACATACTACAACAAACCTGGAAGTGCATATCCATGTCTTTGGTACTGGTCCACTTGTAGGTCTGACCAGGTTTTAAACTAATGTTTTCTCAAAACCAGTACAAGTATTCATTTGTTGAGGTTTGACTGTAAAAGAAACCCATTAAATTAAAAGAGTGAACTGTTGAGGACAAAATTTCACATTTATTCCTTTGTCCAGGTTCGCTGTCAAGGAATACAAAGTACCCAGGACAGTTTGACTGATAAGCAAACTAACACCAACACATTTAACAAACAGTTTTTTTACAAGGCCCGGGTTACAAGGGCTGCTCTAGAAATCACTGACAATTTTTTGAGATCCTGTAACCAGTGAAAGCTTTATTTAATGGATCCTCGATGTTCCTTGAGGATATTCATGGATCTTATGCAGGATCAAAAGTGATCCTTGTCAACATCCCAAAGAATCTGTCGGGATCTTAACAATTCTCGCCAGGATCTTCAGAGATACAGACCAAGATCTTCAGGGATCTTCGAGGACCTTCAAAGATCTTGGACCTTTCCAAGATCCTTCAAATAATTTATTAATTATCCTTGAAAGATCCTCATTTTCAAGGATCTTTGGAAGATCTTTAAGATCTGGTAAGATTCTCAAAGATCTTTTAGTTTCACCAGGGATGAAACCATTTTAAAGACCCTTTAAACACCTTAAAATCACGGTACCAGCGACCCACACAGTGTTCACCAGTGTCACAAACAAACAATGACATTTGTGTTTACGTTTACACAATAGTCGCAAGCATATCGAAGATCAGCGAACTGATCAAAACGAACGCGAGCAAAAAAGCTTTATACCCTTATATTAATCTTTCATGGAGTGGCAAAGATTTTGATTCACGTTCATTCAAAACGAGACAACTTACGGGGAACCTGTGCGCAGCGTTGTGCAGTTGCTTCGCGTCCATGCGGCCGCTGTTGATCGCAACGGCTTGAACGGCTTACATCATTTTCCCGAAAATATCGTGTCCGTAGGTGTTATTTTCTCTCAGTTTGAACTTGAAAAGTATAGAAAACGGCAGAAAACCCGATATTTCAGGCGTCCAACCTGGTCATATCTGAGATCATAACTCGCTGACCCATGCACACGCACGCCGCATGGTAGCCGCGTCTCGTATTTCGTTATTTTCGCGCCTTTTTCAACATGCGTTAGTCACGTGATATACGTGGTACAATGTAACTTGATTCTACACTGTACTGACTGAATTAAGAAAATCTGGACATCAAAACTTTGTACAATACATGTGAAATTTAACATTCTCAGTTGTAGGATCTAGGAAAACACGTTGTGCTTGTTACTCAACGATAACTGTTAGAAAGTAATGATGTTTGCGAAAAGCATCCGAAAGGGACTGGCAAAAATATAAACTAAATAAGCTTATAATTAAATAGCGAAAAAACAATCAGGTAAAACAGTTATGCAAATTGATAAATAATTAAAAAGACTAGATAGCTTATGGATCTATGGAAAGTGGATCACTTGCATTCCTCGCTATAAGAGACAAGGAGCCTGAAGAGGTCAAATGGAAACTGTGATTTCTGTCACTAAGAAAATGAGATTTGGGTCACTAGCACTGCACTGGGACCGGCCGATCACAAAAAAATGGAATGGAAGTGGTGTTCTGGAATTTTGGAAAAAATGGGACGGGAAATGGGATCTACACTCTTCCCCCCTCCCCAACCCTTCCACTTCTTCAGGACCGTCAATGACGGCTTCATTCGATTTCACTTTGAGACCAAATAGCACTAGCGTTTGTCTTTTGAGTCAATTCAATTTGATTTTAGACTGGCGCTGTGCTCTACCCAAATATTTTAGAAACTTGATCCAGCCTTAAATCAGAGATAAAATCCTGACTGTCGTGCATTCTGTATAGTTCTAACAGATTACCTGGAGGCACAGAGGGCTCTTATCACAGATTTGAGGGTCGTTAACATGACGACAGAAAGCGCAGACATCGCCTATCACCTGAATCTGACAGAATCAGCACGAAGACGACCTGACCTGGAGGAGGGTGATGTCATTGCCTTCCTGGGAAATGCTAAAACTGGCCAAACCGAAATAGAGAAACTGACACACGAGAATTCAGGACGAGCAGTGATGGCCGGCGTAATAAGCCGATCGGCTTACATTTATGCCCATACACCTCGCCATGACGTGGAAAAAGGTAAAGTGAAAAATACATTTTGTTTTTTGCTCCTTTCATATATGTCCTTTACAGACAATGTCATTAACCCAGATTTAAGGTAGATGGAGATGGAGCCTCAGTGAGTTCAACAGTGACGTCTTGATGTTCCTACCCTCAGGGTGGTAGTGTGGTAGCCTAATGGTTACCACGTACAACTACAGACTGAGTGGTTCTAACCATTGGTCCTTTTCAGTGATGTGTTTTAAAGGTAAATATTTTCACTGCCATTGCGTCTGTCTCCAAACCCAAGTCTATAAATTAGGATCGACGAACTGACGAATGTACAGTTGTTGGGGTAGCCTGTCAGTGATTTACCTACAATGTACTAGTACAAAAGCAATACTACCGAACTTGCGTCATGTTACATATAAGTATGACACCGATGACCAATCCGGCTCCTCCCTTTCATCTCTTGGCTTAGAAAAGACCTGGACCTCAAATAAGCTATGGGAGCTGGGACTTAACACATCTAATCTGGGATGAGTTTTAAGAAACGTTTGTGCTCCAAGTCTAGTAAACTTGTCAAAGGACTGAACACAAAGACCCTCCCTAGTATTGCGGTGCTATGGACAGTTTGGTTTATCTTACTGAATTTTTCTTTTAAAATCATGTTATTTGAAGGTGCGACTGAGACGGTATGTGTTATCGGCCTTGTTAAGGTTAAAGTACTTGGCACGGTCCAAAATGGTGAGCGTGTGTACGCGGCAGTACACCAGCCAGGTGTTGCTATTCCGGAGACGCACATTCCGTTACGAGCAATGGCCGGTCGCACCCCAACGCTACTGGGTCAAGCCCTGGAGAGCAAGACGAGCTATAAACAAGACAGCGTTCACTTGGTCCATTGCTTTGTATCGATAGTGCTCGGTATACAGTCGGGACAGCTCGCTAATGCCATTAACGACCTTCAAGAAGGGATGCAGGGCAGATTTGAGGATGTTATGGTAAAGAACAGGTCAAAGTGGCTTAAAGGTCAGGAGCGGTTTGTTTCAGTTTTATTTAGCCGTCCCGGAAGTGACGTACATTCGCGTTGTGCTTTGAAGTGGCAGCCATGAACACTGATCATAGCTGCCACTGACTGTTTTGACTGACTGTTTCGTTCTGGTTTGGGCTTATCAGCATGGTATAACCAGTGCTAAGGAACTCACTTGGCTATGCTCTGTTTATGAGTCTTAGCAAGGACGAGTACCTGTTCATTCCTGCACGCCACGGGTTAAAGGCTTTTCGCACGCGTACAAGTTTTAGCCAGACTCCAGAGGTCTGTAGTTTGACTATGGCCACCATGATCATTTTCTTTTCAAATAGCTTACTTGACTCTCACAGTGCCTCTCTCCACCCAGGGATATATGACCATATATATACAGACTAATCATCATCTCGAGTTGGAAAATTTCGAGGAATAATTATAACATGCGACGGAAAGGCATCCCATCCAGGGGGAACTAAAGAAAATAATATTGCTTCTTGCTACGGAGATCGAGTTAAACACCGACGAGATTGTAAAGGGCATAACCTCTAGTACCTTTATTTGTTATTGCCATTGTAATAAAGTTTTGTGGGCTGCAAAAGTGTGACCATTTTGGGCTGCCAGTGTAGACTACGAGTAGTCCCTTCCTCGCATAGTCCATCGTGCGTGACGTGAAAGAAACCCTCGAGCAAAAAATGGCCGCGCGAAATCCTGGCCATTTTTTCCCTCGAGGTTTTCTTTCGAGTCACGCTCGACGGACTATGTGAAAGAGGGACTTCTCGTAGTCTACTTCCAGTGGTGTAATTCACTGATATCCGGGATGTATCTATATGGATTTCAGGCTTGAGGTGGAAGTTGTTAATATTCCTTGTGGTTCTCGGATTGCTTACTGCTGTGTTTTACGAGTTCCTTGCTCCAGGCACTTGGTACCAGTATCAGCTCTGTAAACGAGGAAGCATCAAGGGTCACGCAGCAACTTTTTCATTTACGACACACGACATCCAAGTATGTATAGCGCAAGATAACGGTGCTTAGGGTAACGTAATTTCCACAAAACAAGTTAATATCTTATATGAACCAGTGAGGGAGCTGTAAGAAACGTAGACCTTTCGCTTCATTTGGAATGATTGAAGTTTGTGGAAGTCTTTTCTTAATAATCAACCGACTCAAATCACTTTCTAGTATGCGAATTTTTCATTTTAATCGTAAACTACGTGAAATATCAGAATCAAAATCTGAATTGCCTCCTAAGTTCAAGGTAACAGAAAGAAAGTAATAACATCTCCCCCAGCTTCAATGACATTTTTTCTGTTTTATTAAGTTTTAACGAATCGAGTTAAGGTGAAGAGCACCCAAACGCGCTATTGAGAGTACGTTAAGTCTAGAGTACCATTGAGGTGACACAGCATGGGTTCCTTGCGTCTTGTATCTTGCGTCTTGCCTCGGGACGTGAAGGTTTAAATACTAGGCTGTATCGATGGAACGGCGTTAGTGTGCATTATATTTGCCCATGCTTTGAGAGAAGACTTTGCTATTAAGAACGTTTGTGATAAAATATTTACGCTAAAGAGTGTATTTAGAATGGCTCAGCTAAAGTACGGGAAAAATGTTGTACCAGTTTATAATTTAACTGACTGCTCGACACATTAACGCGCAGTATGCACCAACCTCGTCCCAGGGTCTCTCTTTTACTCTCTCTCACTCTCTCTAGGGGGCGGGGCGGAAAGAAGAAAGACCCCGGGTCAGCTTTTCCGAAAACCTGATAGGCGAAGATTTGTGGAAAAATACCAGTAAGACCCCGTCTACAACGGACGTATGTTTACGATTTGTTTCGATTTATTATGTTTCAGACTCCCACTATACGAGGGATTGAATTCACCTGGGAAAGGGTGAAGAAAAAACTTGACCTTGACGGTTGTGAACCGTTAAACGCTACAGGTAAAGTCATGATTTTCCATACAGACTTAGAGCAAAGCGAAACAGAACAATTGCGCCTTTTCTAGACGTCAGCGTTTAATAATGCAACATTAAGAGGCGGAAGGAGAGAAAGAGCTACGACAGATTGGAAGCCCTGTTTTCGGTGGTTCTTTTGCTATTGTTACTTCAAATTGTTTCAAATTTTAATCTTCAAATGGTATCTGTGGTAAAAGCCAGTCCCTTAGTCCTCCGTTAAATGTATTGATTTAAGCTAATTATCTGTCAGCAAAGGCAGACAGACAGATGAACACACAGACAGACAAGCAAACAAATAGGTCAGACATCCGGCCGGTGCGGGGAGGCAGGCAGAAAGACAACTGCAGACGACATTGAGAACAGCACATTGAGAGACGGACGGACGAACAGACAGAAAGATGAATGGACAAGCGGCCGGACGGACGTCTAGACTGATAGACAGACAGACGGACAGACAGACAGACAGACAGACAGACAAACGGACAGACAGAGCTAAACAGAAACATGCTGACAGGACAATTGGAATAACATTTCTGTATGGAAGTGTAATTTGCGTGTCTCTTGCAATCTTTCCAGATGTCCATTATTACCTCAATTTGGATCGATGCGCCTATGGCGAACGGATCGTTTTGGATCACAAGCCACCAATACGTGGACCGGAGGTTTTTGCAGTCAACGCAACTTGCTCGGGGGTATTTTACCTGCACAAGAACAAATGGTTACCATACGCTACGGCGGAGCACGTCACGTGCGAGCCCCCATATTCCTGAACCCGTTTGGTGATGGAGATCATTTAGCTGGTCAGAGTCGTGTAATAGCCAATAGCGCTATTTTATTACTAGCGTACTACGTAAAACTAGCGCGGGGCCTCGGGGGATACTAGTATAATTTACCAGTGAACTAATGGGGTCTAGTTTTTACTCTGAAGGTGCTTTCGGGCGTTCCCGCGTGGAGCCCGAAGTTCAAGTCAGTGCAACATAGACAAGGAGAAACATGTTTGTGACTCGATTAATGTACTTTCCAACCCAACTCCAGCAATGACTAACCAGGGATTTAGCGCCCACCCAAAGTGCTTTTTTATACGTAAATCGACACTGATTCCGTTAGGGTTGGACAATCAATCGTTTTCTTGAAATAAGCAAAAAGCGTCATCTAAGAAAAGACTTATACCTTCCGGCGGCGGTGGGTGGGTTGGGTGGGGGCACTAATATAGAGAAAAATATGGTCTCCAAAGTTGAGCCGACTCTGTCTCTAAAAGTAAATTGAGTCAGAATTAAGCGTAAACGGACGTAACTGGACTCAAGACCCTCGTAACTTACTAAGGGGTTGCATTGGACTCCTTCGTTGAGTAGGGACCAGCAAAGTTCTTGTTTTAGGTAGTTTCAGCGGATGACCTGCACCTTTTTAAAACTTCTATTTTGATTCGTTCTTGTTAATCTGCACCTCTTTTGCTTTTAGGGCCATATGGCTAGGGGCATCGTTTGTGTTGTATACCTACTGTTTCGTTTGGCCAATCACGAAGACCCTTGTAAACGGTGCAGGTCGGCCCAGTTTCAGGAGCCCATCACCTGGTAGTTTTGGAGATCTTGGAGTACAGTAACAAAGAGCGTGAAATCAGAGTGTCGTTTTATGTGACATTATATTTCAAGCCTAATTTATCAGACGAATTTTCACATATAAGAGCGGATGAAATGTAAGTTAAAGACAGTTTTTGTCCCTGTTTTTATAAAAGACAAGGGTTGTAGGAATACTTCTAGAAACCGTGTTTCCTGCACGTTCTGTCATAAATTATTTACCATACATGCTATTTAACAAGTTTTGTGTAGATTATAGTATTGACACGTGCATTGTTGTAGGTAGAATAAAGGGGTTTTTTTTTTCACTACTGACTGGTAAATTGAACTTCAACCTAATTTGACTAATTTCTAACCCAGATCCCCAACGGAGAGCGAGGTAGGCAGAGCGGGATCTGTGCACGAGAAGTTAAAGTATACACCCTTTAAGGCACTGAAATATCTTCAAGAAAAAGAGTAACAATGAGACATTTCCACAACTGATCAAATTCGACACTTAATTTACTGCCATAGTAACTACCGTAAAATACATCCAGTATAACTTCATAAAGGTTTGGGTGAGCTTATAAACGGGGGGGCGGGGGCCGCGGGGCTCATATCCGGGGGCCATATAAGCGAGATAAAAAAATGTTTCGGAACGACGAGATAAAAACTATCTGAGTAACGAATTAAAGCCAACATACTATTACATTTAGAGCTATTATCCTATTGCCCTACTACCCTATTATCACCCTATTAGCCTATAAAAAAGTGAAGCCTTAGAGCCAACTGGCCATGGCTCATAGCTGCCGGAGCTTATTCCGGTTTCTGTGGCATGAAGCGGCTAGGAGTATTTCTACTCCCCCTGGATGGGATGCTAGTCCATCGCAGGTCACTCCCCCGCAACTTGTTAGGTTTCCCCAACAATTGGCTGGTACCCATTTATACTCCTGGGTGGAGAGAGGCACTGTGAGAGTTAAGTGTCATGCCCAAGAACACAACACAATGTCCCTGGCCAGGGCTCGAACCCGGACCGCTCGATCCGGGAACGAGCGCACTAACTATGAGGCCACCGCGCCTATAACTTGCGATTAAAAGTTTTAATGTTTGTAAAGAAGCGCAAAAGAAACCCACTTATACATTACATGGCTTATATCCGGGGGAGCTTATATCCTTAATGATATCTTTGTTAGCAAATAGAAGAGCTTATATCCGGGGGGCGCTTTAACGTTGGATTTTACGGTATATCTCTCGAGATATCAATACACAATAGGCGAATTCAGCAGAACATGGATCGTGCGAGCCTGGCGCGTCCGCTAAAAAGAAAAATATATGTACACAAAGGGTCTGACCCATTCCATTTGTAATCTTTTCGCTCGTTCTTAGTCCATTTTTGGGGGAAATCGAGTTCACGCATTGAACTCACACTGAGGTACGGGCGGCAATTATTAGTGAGTTTCTAAACAAACTGACTGTGTGGCGTGAAGTCATTAAACGTAGTAATCACCGTAGCGCAGTAAAAACACCAAAGAGTGTTTGTTGAAAAATATGTCACTTTATTTTTTCGGACATGCTCAACCAGCAAGTATGTATTTAATAAATGGCATTATACATCAATAAATTACAGTTCAGGCAAAACTAATTTGGTCAAATAAATCTTTAAGCTTTTTAACACGATCTAAAAAGAACTTATCATGCACTTTTATCTATTTCACGACTTATTCCATACCAGAAGCATATCACTTAGATCGAGGTGATATGTTTCTGTCCCTACTAAATGGTACTTTCCATGAAAATATACATATGATATAAAGGACCAGCCTTCTTTTTATTTCTTCTTTACTTTTTCAACTCTCTTTCCTTTCGTAGTCAAAGAAAAGTTTAAACGATTTGAATCGAGATCAACTCGCGAAGTTCGACTGAGCCAACTGTCATTGATTCCTTCTGGTCAGCAGAGGAGCTCAGCAACGTGACATGCATCATGTTAATAATGGTAAAATTAGATCTTACGAGAGTAATCACGGTGCTGTGATCTGATTGGACAGTAACAAGCAGTTAATGGAGTTCTTACACTTGTATTCCTTGGACTGTATGTTCTATGCGAGTTGTTAAGTATTATATACATTTTTCCTCTTTATACAGTGTATATATCTGGACTGAACTGCCAATTGCGCATTTAAAGTATAGTGTTGAATAGATAGCAATGAATATTCTTCAAACTTAGAAAGTTATTTGATAACAATAATCAATTAAAAAAAATTCAACCCTTAAGTCCTCAGGTCGGAGTTAAAATTCGCATAACTCTTTTTGAAAATTTCACCATTTGAAGTCAAGATATCTTTCCTGAGGTTATCAGATCGCTTACTCTCATAACTTGTGGTAAAAAGGTAAAAAAAAAAATGCAATGAATCACTGTTGGATGTTAAGAGATACAAATATCACCTACCCTGGAAATGCTAAGGGATAATTATTTTATTAAAAAAATGCTGAAAATATTCCAATCACCGAAAACGGATTTAAGAAGGGTAAACATAGGCATACGTCATTCGCATTCCCAGGGCCAGCTCTCTCTCTAAGCCAGCGGAACATTGATAGTAGGAAAGTCACGTGAGCCACCCTTTCCTCGGGCCAAGGCCCCGCAGGCTAAGACAGACAGGCAGGTCTGGGGATGACAATAAAGCATGAAGCGAAATCCAAAGACTAAACGAATGAGCAAACATAGATAATGACACAAACTCAACTGATATAAATACAAAATTACCTAACAAGTATGCTTGGTCCAGCCATCGCAATGCGTAACGTAAAATGTCATAAACAACAATGTTATTAAATAATGCTGTACCATCATTGAAAACATGTTCTTTGTTTCCTTCCTTGACAAAAGTTTCTCTGTTCTTTCAATGTGTCTAAACGCTAACCGTTTAACCAACAAAGCTTCTTGTTTGCAGCAATTGGGCCTCATTTCTCGTGGAATTAAAGCTGGATTCTACAACATTCCACTTTGAATGCCGTCGTTTAAGTTGAACCTCAAAGCGAAACAGTCACGTCTCGCGACAATGCAAACTCAAAGACCTCCAAAAATCCTAGTATTAATGTATCCTGTGTCAGGGATGGGCTGTACACACTAAGTCCCTGCCGGTTTCATACGGAGACCATTCTTCTGCGTGATAATAAACAGTTGTGCAGTTTTGATCGACAGCCACTATTTCTGCACCTCGCACCATCTCTTTGTTGTCCAACGGTGAACCCACGAGTCTAATCCCGCCATAAGCACAACGGTCCAGGTTTAAATAATAGTGCGCGTCTGAAGATAAAAAAAAGAATCAAATTAAAAACAGAATTAATTGTTGCAATTTAATCACTTATGTAGACCTTCAAAAGAAGCTGCGTTTGCAAGAACCTGCTTGACAGTTTTTCTCTTTTAGTATCTGATCCAAATAAACAATTTCTGTAATCTCTAAGGATGGCTGCCCAGTCTTATTAACCCATAAGGTTATTTCGGGCAGTCATGTACTCGTTTTTATTTTAAAACTTATTTTTGTACACTTTAATTTTAGGTTTGAGTACAAACAGAGTTGTTGTTGTTGTTGTTGTTCAAAAGGGAAGGAGTGAGGCAAACAATAGTTTCCGCTCACCCTCCCCTTTGATCGCCTGCCACCCGGGCTACGTTTGCAATGGAGATGGTTTTCTTCCTCGTACCTGTGTAGTTTATTCTGCCAAAATTCAAATCCATTTTTTTCTTCAGCTTGTCCCAAGTAAACTCGATACCATGTACACGAGGAATCTGTTTAAGAAAATGAGATTTTCATTAGCAATATACATGTACCACTGATGATGACCGTACGGTCGAAAACGTTTTGGTTTTTAACAATTTTAGTAACTTTTAGCCTTTTATAAACATACTAAGAAAAATGTATATATACTGTATGGACTACTGTACGTGTTTATAGTTTCTAGCATCTTTCGCTTAGACTTGACGATCTTTTGGGGAGTAGAAGAAACTCGAGCAATATTTTGWATGATCAACTATTGTTTATAATTGTCCATAGCATTACTGTCCTGCAGCTAATTTTAGTGATCTAAAAAATGACAACAACGACGAAGTACAAATTAATTGGTACAAAAAATTAGAACTGAAATTAAATTTGAATCAGTTAAAATAAGAGCAAAACGACCACAAGGATCTATTGCAACCTAACACACGGGCGGATCTAGGGTGGATTAGGGCGGTTCGGTCGAAACCCCCCCCCCCCTCCCCCTACATTAAAAAGAAAAAATAAATAACACCTTATAACACACTAACTTGGCCTCAGAATGCCTCAAATCCTATTTAAAAGGACCTCAATTTTAAAAATTTTCCGCGGGAGAAAGGTCCCAGACCCTCCTACGGGGCCCCCGCCTTCGGCAGTCCATATCTCGAATCTCCTTCTCTAAAATCCTATATCCGCTCCATTTTACACTATTCGCCGTTTTAGAAACGAGAAGAAATCTGGGGCGAGTCTCAACTTGCAATCGCTTGTGGGATCGTTAGTGAGGAAATCGTTTTTCATCTTTAGTTTTGTCCTCACTAACGGTCCCACAAGCCACTGCGAGATGAGACTTGCCCCAGGTTTCTTCTCGTTTCAGAACGTGCGTCCGAGACGCAATACCTGTAAATCATTAGTGGTGAATGTGAACCACAAATCACTATCATCAATGGATCCCTGGCGACATCTGTAGTAACGAAATGCGGTGCCTGGGGCGAATAACTGATACAGCAACACTGCTACTAATACCGCTAAGATGAAGCCCGCAAACAACCAGCGGCGAAAACCTGAAACAAGTGAACAAGATGTGTTAAAGTGAGATGGGTTGTCAATGAAACTAAAGATTATGCTACGTTATGATGGGAAATGATACACAAATGGAATTAAAGTAAACACCACTTCTAATTGGTTTTAAATTGCCAACCATGCTTTATTTAGCAAATAGATTCCACGTTGCTGTGTAATCACAGATGACGTCAAAATATGGTAAGAACAATATCTATACATTGATATTTTTTGGAACACATTAGAGATTCATGATAACTAGTACCTCTCAAACATTTCTTTTTGATCTGATTCACTTCGGTTTTCACATCCTCCCTCACGTTTTTCCGCAAATCACTGACAGCGTCCGTCACGTGACCAGACGAAATGCTCAACAAGATTGAGACAAAAGACTGCACTACGCTCACTTCGTCAGTCTTAGCGTCCAGGCTTTCAAGAGTTTGACCGAGCAGGACGGCGTCACTGGACACAGCGTCACTCACACGACTCTGGGGTATCGCAGCTCCCGGATGTTCCAAAGAGGCGAAGATTCGCTCACCGTTTTTTACTGGGCCGAGAACTTTAACACCCACCATGCCTATTACACACACGAGGTCGTACAGAGCTGGAAACAGAAAAATTTAGAAATGAAATAAGACGATTTGCATACAAGATCGAACACTGCTGAGGTTTTCAGGGTAGTTCACGTTTTCTCAATCATACATGGCGTATGGGGGATACTAGAACCATGTTACTTATTTACTTAGATTTGTGTTTGCGTCAATATAAAAATCCCCCCTATCAATCTTCAAACAATTCTCAGTGTTTCTTTTAAGAAGTTCATAATACATCACGAAAATCGACTTTTCCTGATTACATGGTGATGCCCGACGATTGTCAAGGGAGAGGACCACAAAGGGCCACAGAGGGGAGGGCCTGAAAATGAACAAACATCATGCACTCCTGTTTCAATCTGTACCTTTATTTTCGCCCTCTGCAGGGGTCTTGGCCTCAAGATACGCTGATCTGCTGATAACTCCCGCCATCGTGGCTTTTGAGGCATTGAAATGTGTCAGCTTCTCGATGTAGCTCTCGCCATCAGGACCTTCAAAGACACCGACGATGTCACCTTCTTCAAGGGGATGATCATGGTCAGCGGTGTCCAGTTTGAAGTGATAAGCAATGTCTCCTCTTTGTGTGACGATAGGCTTGGTCACCCGCAGTTCCTCGATGACGGCAGATTTAGCTTCGAGGCGATCTGTAATTATCTCGGAGGCGCTAACAGCTGAGAAAAACAAATCAAAGGGTTATCAGTTTCATTGGAATCAAATAAATCATAGGTAGTGCAATGAGTAACCAAATGATCTGAGTTTTCCATAATTTTGCTAAAAAACCGTATCATCTCTTTTTACACTTTAAGCCACTTGAAACTTGAAATTAGAACTTGATTGTATTTTTTTCAACCACAGTTCTGTCATCGTCATTTTTTCAGGGGCAAGGGCAATATGACATTAGAGAAAAAGAATTTAAACCTGTATTTTCTTGGGTATATACTGAAGATTCGAACTTGGGATTATAATAAAGTTATTACATTTCTCGCTCTGCCATCGTCTTACAATCAAAGGCTAATGTCCTACCGCTAATAACAAAATGAATGGAGTTGTTCGTTTTTGCCCGCTTTAAATTTGTAATGGCACAAAATGGTTTCGAACAAAGTCTCTGTGAAGATGGTTAACTCGCTTGAAAACAGACAGACAGTGTAGAAGAGAACTTACTGTCACTGTTCATGCCACTGCTCAAACTTCCACCTGGACTGGAATCTAATCCTGAAACTTCAAGAATAGAAGAAAGACAGTGTTAGGTGAGCAGCCGCTGTATGTTTCACTAGTTACTCATATTTGAGAATCGAAAAATATACATCGACAATGTCCAGTGTATGCATAATATGCCACGAACGAGGGGGATCTGGAATGGAAACTGAGACGGAGAGTGCTCTGGGAAGAAAATGTTTGGCGAGAGTCTCCCCCAGGCCATGCTCGGCTCGCTTCGCTCCTCCTATTACTTTCGCGCTCAATGATATTCTTCGCTCGATTTACCAATTGAAAGCCTCTTCACAACCTACTTAAACTGGGACTTAACGTGGCCCTTTTGCCATTATACCTTCACAAAGTTTCAGCAGAATGTAAGATAGAGCGCACTTACTTTTGCGCTTCTTTCTTTTATTCTCTGGACTTGGCGTTCCACAGTAACCATTATCAACACTTCCAGAATCGTCCTCTGCGAAAAAACGCCACAAATAAACGGTATTTAAATTAAATAGTGTAACAGCTACATTTTACTCTCCGGCGTGTTGCCCAAGCAATGCAAGAAAGGAAGAAAATTTATTTAGTGAAAGCCACGCAGTTGATAACACAGTTGTCATACACCAGAAGACGCGAGAAAGGGTCTGGACAAGATATCTCCCATTCAACATTGACTAAATGCCATCTTAAAAAAGAAGTGCCACTTAAAAAGAAGTAACAATTAAGTAAGCGAAGTACTATAGACGTCTTTAGTATTGTATTGTATTATATTGTATTGAAGAAAATAACCGGAACCACAGGATATTCGAAATATCGACTGTTGAGTCACGAGATTTCCTTTCACTAACCTTGTCCTTGCTTTGGGGATTTTTTGCTTTGTACTTGGAAATGTTTGCTGGTAAACTCTTTCGTCGTTCCATCCACAAAATGGAGCACGACAACCAAACGGAAAATATTTCTCTCCTCGCCTTTGACGCGTGAAAGTTCGTAAACCTTAATACCCTTCTGGGATGAATACACGGAGTCGAGGTTAACGGAAAAGTTGGCGGCGAATGGCTCTTTTCTGCTGTATACCACTGGTTCCAGTTCAACGCGGCCGTTCAAGTCTTGTAGAATCCTTGCGGCCTCTGGACATCTTTCCACAAACGCACACACGCCCTGTAGAAAATCGAAACTGCATGAGTATAGAATGAAGCATGCCAGCATATACTGATGCAAGGTGAAAGGAGAGCAACACCACAGTAGTACCCAACCATATAATCACCGCGTTAATACCACTACTTCGTCATTCACAGCCACTTTCGGCCATCGGCGCGAAGAAAAACTCGGTCAGTTATTTTTTGGCTAAGAATCCATTTATTATTTAAACAAGACCGAATTTAGTTGACCCCCACCCCCTCCCCCCGTCCTCAGTTGTCCGTTAACATTCGTAACTCTCTCTCTCTCTCTCTTTCTTTACTATAGCAGAAGTAAACCAAGGTTATACGAAGGAATAACACTAGTTAATACTCGCTTTTAAATTTCCCTCACATATTTTTGGTTAGTTAAACCTTTCCATGATACGCTTTAGCAATATGGCGGGGTAAGAAATCTGAACAAGCGGAAAGAAAACGGAAAAACTGTTAAATGCTACACGTACTGGGATATTAATTGGGTGTTTTTTTCTCCAATTTCCTCTACAGCTACGAACATAACTGAGCGCTATTTAACCCACGCTTTCAAACCGCACGTTCCCAGGACCTACGCGGGAGTTTCTTTACTTGCTAATTAATCATTTACCTGAATAGGTTTTTGTGCCGTTGCCTTAAGGTGTACTTCGGCATTCAGCAATCTCTGTTCTGAGCTAGCATTTCGTCGCATCTGTCCTTTCTCGTAGACATCTTTCAAATCTAAAACAGTGACATTCGCTTTGGTGTCCTCTGTATAACAGGACCAGTCCAAAGGTGGAAACACTGTCAAATAATAACAAAAGTCAGCATGTTTACTGCCAAACAAGACGTATTATGATGGCAGCAATCGTCTAGATATGTTCAGTTTATTTACTATCAGTTACGTAAGGTTTCATTGAGGGCCGGGCACCGAGCAAAGTGACCGGCTGTGAAGATGATTTTGCCCGCCTGGTTTGACCATCTAGAGTAAAGTTTTTCTTCTAAAGATTAGCTTAGTTCAAAAAGTTTTGCCCGCCTGTGAAAACCAGCTACCCTCCTGCTGAGAACTTGAATGAAACCCCTGATTTTAACTGTTACTGAACCATTTCTAGCTGAATATCTGAAAAGAGTGAATAATTCCAAACAAAATGCGAAAGGTTGGCGCTCGTGGCACACATTCCTCTAAAAACGGAGAAGTTTGGTCATCTCACGTTGTTGCTTCGCAGAAAACGGAAAAAAAGGTACCAAGATTATTTTATAAGGCACGTGCAGGGCCTCTATCAATTCCGCTTTAAGCACAAACCACGTAAGCCAAGAGCTCTTCTCTCGACAGCTACCGTGTACCAAGTTCACTTTACTGCTCTTACCAAAATTATCCATTTTCTGTGGTGGGAAAAGATTCTGTTAGGACAACAGTGAATACTGCGGTAGTAACTTAACAGCTACAACGCGACTTCTTGCGCACGTAGCAACTCCAATGCGAAGTTCCTATTTGATGACATGTAGTCATCACGTGTCAGTTAATCACGATTATTGGAAAGAAAGCTGTAACCGGATTGGTCAGGGCTAATTTTCCTTTTTAGCAAGACCTGACTACGAAATATCTGTTCTCTGACTGATTGACGTGTCAGTTGTGAGAGTTTAGAGGTACATCAAAACTATGTGCTAACATTGGGGAGTTTCTTCACTTTCATCCTCTATCCACTTGGCAAAGTGTTGTTCTTGCAACGAGAGAAAATTTCTTGATCAGTCTTGGCACTTCTTATGTCACTGTTGGAAGAGGATCTGGTCAGATACGTGACACTCGCCGTTTTTTTTAGAGTAGAACGTGCGAGTTGTATTTGCCTTAATGAAGGTTTCAAACCACAACAAACACACTTAATGACAAAGGACACTCAGCGCTCAACTGACCTTTTAACGACATCGGTTTTTTAAAAAAAGTCAACAATTAAACAGTCGTTTCCTAAAATCGATGTAGGGCTGAGCCAATAACGAGACATTACAGGACAGGTGACGATTTTTTTTTTTACGGAGAATCGGCGTTGCCTTAAATATCAATATCGTGTGATAAGGAGCGCCATTTTGTTGCGAACACATGCGTCAGATTTTCAACTGCTTTCAAAAACCGGCAATACTGTTGTGAAAATCGGCTTTGCCGCAACAAGTTTGCATGGGAGTTTTCCCCAATCGCCGTTTAAAATGGTCTAGACGTCAGTGTAAGTAATACCTCATATCACACGTCATACTTAGGCATACTTACTTACATCACATGAACGTGAACATCGTCATACTTGGGCGAGAATAATTTATACCAGTATTTAATAGTTTAATATTTGATCATGAAATAATGATATGCAACAACGAAAAAATCAAACACAGTTTGGTTAGAACCAAAAGAGGGTTTAACTGACGGGAATAAAGAATGCTGAAATTATTTTTGTGTGACACACCGACAACCGAAAAGTAAAATTAAACAAAAAGATTGGAAAGAGTGAAGGTAATAGATATTTTAGGCTTGGATCCGAAACGGATAACTACTGAATTCGTGTTAGACAATAATGTTCAAAGGACGAAATGTTTCCGTTGTCGATAAATGATTTCGTTTCCGGCGTAGGTTACACAATATACAAAAGATCTGAGTATTCTTTCTCGCGAGCTAAAATGATAGTTACGATCGCGATGCTATGGATGCCTGGAAATGACAACAAACAAACCACAAAAAAGAGCTTCTGGTACAAGAAAGTACAAACTCTACGATCATTCACTCCCAGACCTTAACTCCCTATCCTAACCCGGGGGATTTTTCCCCTTCTCTCCAAAAAGACAGAAACATAAACATGGAGACCAGGTTTAACAAAGCACCGAGCCTACAAATGCAGCCGTACCACAACCACATCCACGTTCTAGGGGGAGTGATGAGAGGCGCTTGTTACACCCTATTCCAGCCTTTTTGTGTCTCTGTGGTAGTTTTTTCCCCGTGTTTTTCTTACGCATCAAACCATTTTTTGAATCAGTTTTTCTTATCACAGAATCGCCCATAAATAAGCTTGACGAAACCCAACGAGTGCATGGAAACGTGCTCAGAATTTCAATGACTATACAACCACTTTCAAGATTGCATGATTATAACTCATACATGAGCTATCACTTAAGTTTGGCGATAATTTTTTTTTTCCTGAATTGAAGTGAGTCAAATAACTTTCTAGTCACGTATACTCCAAAAAAAATTGGTTTCTGGGCGAGATAATACCGCTCTGTATCAAGACCTATAAGGAGTTATTGAGTCATGAAGCCCTTTGACCCCTTTACGAAATCTATTCACGCTCCGCGCATGAAACGAGGTTGGGAGATACCGAGTCGCAAACGCACTTATTTTCTTTTCCTAGGGAAACAAATATTGATAACTCCAAGTCTTTATAAACTTCTCACTAAGCCTGACCCTAGTTTCATCTAGTCTCATGAATATATTTTATATTATTATTATTTTTTCTCTTATCTATTGCAACCTTCCGTTCTTATTAATTTACTAGCGTAAAGTCTGCAAAAGTTGACAAAGTAATTGCAAAACTTTAATTTAGAGACTCGGCGCATTGTCGGAAATGAGTTTGAAGTTGAATTCCGAATTTTGACCAATTCTTCGAGAGGAATATAAGTGACTTCAATTTAATTAGTAACGATACGATCAGCGCGACTTAACACGAGGAATATTCGGAAAGTTACATGACATGATTTCCAAATGCAAATAACACGTCGTCGACTTTGCAAAATGCACACATTTACATCTAGTAATTTTCTTGAGATAAACAATCTCTAGACGCTTGACAAGTTAGCCGCCTGATTTATTTCGTTACATATAAAAAGTAAAGTCTCTTAACGGTAAAAATGGTATATTAAAAGCTTGCACTTAGAGCGAAATGCAGAGCGTAATGGACAACGATCAAGCACGCGACGAAACTGACAACTTACTACCCAAGGCCATCCAAGGTCAACAATAGAACCAGCCGGCTATGTTTATTCGAACTGAGTATTAACACTGCTCATCATAACCGCCTTATGATGTTGCTTCCCAACCACTGACAATTCAAAGTACATTAACCGACCGGCTTAGATAACAAATACATGCGAAAACGGATCAGACTCCAACGCCGACTCTTAAAACTAATATTTCTTTCCTTTTGAAAACCTTGTCACAAAGAGGGAAGCATTGTGGATGTAAAAACAGCACTATAACTTCAATTGAAAAAACGTAATTTTCCAACACTCTACGGAACAAAATGTCATCGTTGGAGACATGTAACAACAAAGCATCTCACTTGATTTATATTATCTTACATCATGCCGCTGCGGGTTCCAGCGACAGAAACGGCGGATGTAAATGATCAAATATAAGAAGAGAGCCTGCCACAACTTGAAGGAAAACGACAGATACAGAGCACTGTTCCGTCATTTTCCTGCGGTATTAAACCGGGTATTAACTGGAGGTGTGTGCATTTGAAACCCACAGGCCCACATTACACTCACGCGCTATTCGAAAGTTTTCATATCCTGATAATGAATGAGTTGCTGGATTGGCTTAAACCCTGTCAGAAAAGATCACTACATTTCGTATCGTTAAACATCGTACATACCTTGTTCTGTGGACATTGTAAGAAACGCTGGGTCGAGGAAACCTTGATTAGACTCGTCCAGAATATCTTTGATGTCTAAGCAGTCCAAATTGACCGGTTGCCCGTTGATGTTCAACACTTGGTTAGCGAACAGATCGCTCATTTCCAAACTCATAATGTTTTCCAGTGCGATAACGTTGAGGAAATGTTGTATTCAATTATTTATCAGAAAAAACGGGAATCCAAAAGCTTGAATATNCTCTCTCTCTCTCTCTCTTTCTTTACTATAGCAGAAGTAAACCAAGGTTATACGAAGGAATAACACTAGTTAATACTCGCTTTTAAATTTCCCTCACATATTTTTGGTTAGTTAAACCTTTCCATGATACGCTTTAGCAATATGGCGGGGTAAGAAATCTGAACAAGCGGAAAGAAAACGGAAAAACTGTTAAATGCTACACGTACTGGGATATTAATTGGGTGTTTTTTTCTCCAATTTCCTCTACAGCTACGAACATAACTGAGCGCTATTTAACCCACGCTTTCAAACCGCACGTTCCCAGGACCTACGCGGGAGTTTCTTTACTTGCTAATTAATCATTTACCTGAATAGGTTTTTGTGCCGTTGCCTTAAGGTGTACTTCGGCATTCAGCAATCTCTGTTCTGAGCTAGCATTTCGTCGCATCTGTCCTTTCTCGTAGACATCTTTCAAATCTAAAACAGTGACATTCGCTTTGGTGTCCTCTGTATAACAGGACCAGTCCAAAGGTGGAAACACTGTCAAATAATAACAAAAGTCAGCATGTTTACTGCCAAACAAGACGTATTATGATGGCAGCAATCGTCTAGATATGTTCAGTTTATTTACTATCAGTTACGTAAGGTTTCATTGAGGGCCGGGCACCGAGCAAAGTGACCGGCTGTGAAGATGATTTTGCCCGCCTGGTTTGACCATCTAGAGTAAAGTTTTTCTTCTAAAGATTAGCTTAGTTCAAAAAGTTTTGCCCGCCTGTGAAAACCAGCTACCCTCCTGCTGAGAACTTGAATGAAACCCCTGATTTTAACTGTTACTGAACCATTTCTAGCTGAATATCTGAAAAGAGTGAATAATTCCAAACAAAATGCGAAAGGTTGGCGCTCGTGGCACACATTCCTCTAAAAACGGAGAAGTTTGGTCATCTCACGTTGTTGCTTCGCAGAAAACGGAAAAAAAGGTACCAAGATTATTTTATAAGGCACGTGCAGGGCCTCTATCAATTCCGCTTTAAGCACAAACCACGTAAGCCAAGAGCTCTTCTCTCGACAGCTACCGTGTACCAAGTTCACTTTACTGCTCTTACCAAAATTATCCATTTTCTGTGGTGGGAAAAGATTCTGTTAGGACAACAGTGAATACTGCGGTAGTAACTTAACAGCTACAACGCGACTTCTTGCGCACGTAGCAACTCCAATGCGAAGTTCCTATTTGATGACATGTAGTCATCACGTGTCAGTTAATCACGATTATTGGAAAGAAAGCTGTAACCGGATTGGTCAGGGCTAATTTTCCTTTTTAGCAAGACCTGACTACGAAATATCTGTTCTCTGACTGATTGACGTGTCAGTTGTGAGAGTTTAGAGGTACATCAAAACTATGTGCTAACATTGGGGAGTTTCTTCACTTTCATCCTCTATCCACTTGGCAAAGTGTTGTTCTTGCAACGAGAGAAAATTTCTTGATCAGTCTTGGCACTTCTTATGTCACTGTTGGAAGAGGATCTGGTCAGATACGTGACACTCGCCGTTTTTTTTAGAGTAGAACGTGCGAGTTGTATTTGCCTTAATGAAGGTTTCAAACCACAACAAACACACTTAATGACAAAGGACACTCAGCGCTCAACTGACCTTTTAACGACATCGGTTTTTTAAAAAAAGTCAACAATTAAACAGTCGTTTCCTAAAATCGATGTAGGGCTGAGCCAATAACGAGACATTACAGGACAGGTGACGATTTTTTTTTTTACGGAGAATCGGCGTTGCCTTAAATATCAATATCGTGTGATAAGGAGCGCCATTTTGTTGCGAACACATGCGTCAGATTTTCAACTGCTTTCAAAAACCGGCAATACTGTTGTGAAAATCGGCTTTGCCGCAACAAGTTTGCATGGGAGTTTTCCCCAATCGCCGTTTAAAATGGTCTAGACGTCAGTGTAAGTAATACCTCATATCACACGTCATACTTAGGCATACTTACTTACATCACATGAACGTGAACATCGTCATACTTGGGCGAGAATAATTTATACCAGTATTTAATAGTTTAATATTTGATCATGAAATAATGATATGCAACAACGAAAAAATCAAACACAGTTTGGTTAGAACCAAAAGAGGGTTTAACTGACGGGAATAAAGAATGCTGAAATTATTTTTGTGTGACACACCGACAACCGAAAAGTAAAATTAAACAAAAAGATTGGAAAGAGTGAAGGTAATAGATATTTTAGGCTTGGATCCGAAACGGATAACTACTGAATTCGTGTTAGACAATAATGTTCAAAGGACGAAATGTTTCCGTTGTCGATAAATGATTTCGTTTCCGGCGTAGGTTACACAATATACAAAAGATCTGAGTATTCTTTCTCGCGAGCTAAAATGATAGTTACGATCGCGATGCTATGGATGCCTGGAAATGACAACAAACAAACCACAAAAAAGAGCTTCTGGTACAAGGAAGTACAAACTCTACGATCATTCCCTCCCAGACCTTAACTCCCTATCCTAACCCGGGGGATTTTTCCCCTTCTCTCCAAAAAGACAGAAACATAAACATGGAGACCAGGTTTAACAAAGCACCGAGCCTACAAATGCAGCCGTACCACAACCACATCCACGTTCTAGGGGGAGTGATGAGAGGCGCTTGTTACACCCTATTCCAGCCTTTTTGTGTCTCTGTGGTAGTTTTTTCCCCGTGTTTTTCTTACGCATCAAACCATTTTTTGAATCAGTTTTTCTTATCACAGAATCGCCCATAAATAAGCTTGACGAAACCCAACGAGTGCATGGAAACGTGCTCAGAATTTCAATGACTATACAACCACTTTCAAGATTGCATGATTATAACTCATACATGAGCTATCACTTAAGTTTGGCGATAATTTTTTTTTTCCTGAATTGAAGTGAGTCAAATAACTTTCTAGTCACGTATACTCCAAAAAAAATTGGTTTCTGGGCGAGATAATACCGCTCTGTATCAAGACCTATAAGGAGTTATTGAGTCATGAAGCCCTTTGACCCCTTTACGAAATCTATTCACGCTCCGCGCATGAAACGAGGTTGGGAGATACCGAGTCGCAAACGCACTTATTTTCTTTTCCTAGGGAAACAAATATTGATAACTCCAAGTCTTTATAAACTTCTCACTAAGCCTGACCCTAGTTTCATCTAGTCTCATGAATATATTTTATATTATTATTATTTTTTCTCTTATCTATTGCAACCTTCCGTTCTTATTAATTTACTAGCGTAAAGTCTGCAAAAGTTGACAAAGTAATTGCAAAACTTTAATTTAGAGACTCGGCGCATTGTCGGAAATGAGTTTGAAGTTGAATTCCGAATTTTGACCAATTCTTCGAGAGGAATATAAGTGACTTCAATTTAATTAGTAACGATACGATCAGCGCGACTTAACACGAGGAATATTCGGAAAGTTACATGACATGATTTCCAAATGCAAATAACACGTCGTCGACTTTGCAAAATGCACACATTTACATCTAGTAATTTTCTTGAGATAAACAATCTCTAGACGCTTGACAAGTTAGCCGCCTGATTTATTTCGTTACATATAAAAAGTAAAGTCTCTTAACGGTAAAAATGGTATATTAAAAGCTTGCACTTAGAGCGAAATGCAGAGCGTAATGGACAACGATCAAGCACGCGACGAAACTGACAACTTACTACCCAAGGCCATCCAAGGTCAACAATAGAACCAGCCGGCTATGTTTATTCGAACTGAGTATTAACACTGCTCATCATAACCGCCTTATGATGTTGCTTCCCAACCACTGACAATTCAAAGTACATTAACCGACCGGCTTAGATAACAAATACATGCGAAAACGGATCAGACTCCAACGCCGACTCTTAAAACTAATATTTCTTTCCTTTTGAAAACCTTGTCACAAAGAGGGAAGCATTGTGGATGTAAAAACAGCACTATAACTTCAATTGAAAAAACGTAATTTTCCAACACTCTACGGAACAAAATGTCATCGTTGGAGACATGTAACAACAAAGCATCTCACTTGATTTATATTATCTTACATCATGCCGCTGCGGGTTCCAGCGACAGAAACGGCGGATGTAAATGATCAAATATAAGAAGAGAGCCTGCCACAACTTGAAGGAAAACGACAGATACAGAGCACTGTTCCGTCATTTTCCTGCGGTATTAAACCGGGTATTAACTGGAGGTGTGTGCATTTGAAACCCACAGGCCCACATTACACTCACGCGCTATTCGAAAGTTTTCATATCCTGATAATGAATGAGTTGCTGGATTGGCTTAAACCCTGTCAGAAAAGATCACTACATTTCGTATCGTTAAACATCGTACATACCTTGTTCTGTGGACATTGTAAGAAACGCTGGGTCGAGGAAACCTTGATTAGACTCGTCCAGAATATCTTTGATGTCTAAGCAGTCCAAATTGACCGGTTGCCCGTTGATGTTCAACACTTGGTTAGCGAACAGATCGCTCATTTCCAAACTCATAATGTTTTCCAGTGCGATAACGTTGAGGAAATGTTGTATTCAATTATTTATCAGAAAAAACGGGAATCCAAAAGCTTGAATATATCGTAAGGATGAAATATAATTCTTGTGTTCGTTGGTAACTTGGATCCTCAGACACGCAACTTTAGCAATATTGAAGATTCCTCCGCTGGTTACGATGAATCTGCAAAACGTTGATCAAAAAGACACACTTAAACAAAGTGACTTCAATACAGTCAGCAAATCTGTGTTCACGAATGAGTCAACTGAAAACAGGAAGTTTTCACGAGGTACAAACCTTTATCTGTTCCAAGTGGCCTGGATGAAAATACCTAGCATTGTGTGCTGGATGTCATAAAATGTTCAATCAACCGTGAAACTTCCGGTTGATGGACAAGGAAATTACCATAACACTCCCCTGTTTTCGTGGGTAAATACTCTAGAAACCTAGATCGGAGCTGCCACGTAACCGAAAAATAGTTTATGCACAGAAATTGGTTTTTCCAACGCTGAAAACGCACCCCTAAAAAGTTGATATAGCCAACCAACTGTTGAACAAACAAAACGTGACGTAAAATGGCCATACAAGGTCAGTAGAGGAAGCGATTGCGACGTCAGTGAAGTTTATTTCATAACCTCCCGTCACATGATTTTATTGATTACCAGATGACAATTCTTTAAAATATGCTTTAGTATTGATGATGCACCGAGCAAAGTTTAAAATTATGAACTCTATAAGCGGCGGGTCTATTTTACCGACTTTTTTATTCACGCGACATTAATGGGAACTAATCGGTTTGTTGTACTTCGGTCCATGACGTAATCATCGTACGCTAAACTCCCGGATGAGATATTGTCTGCGCACTGGATGAACGTGACTTTGGGTTCACGGAGACTGCATGAGTTTACTCACGCGCATTGAAATCACGTCAAAACATCGAGTGTGCTGTACGGAATATACTGGCAACCTATAGCCTCTGACAGTTTGAACTTTTTGCTGACAACACGATTTTGACTAACAAAATTAAAAATCCCACGCTTAATTAAAACTCCCCTCATATTTCTCATTTTAAAACAAAAAAGACGTTTCGATGAATCCGTGTCATTACTATCCAGTTCAAAGTACATGACAGTATTGATAATATATGGGAAAAATAAGAATATATATATAATAACAAAAAAAAATATGAATCCTTCTATTAAGTCGGTTGCAAATTTCTTTTAACAAGTAGTGGAATAAGGCTACGAAAATAATTGTTCGTATTCGTTTAATCAAGCATGCAATTGACAAGCCTACGCACAGACGACTTGAAATACGAGACGTCTGTCTGTACACGGGTTTAGTAGTCCTCATTTACTTACACTATCTAAGTGAATAAGCATGTTCTACTAAAACCATGAATAATTGTGTTTTATTCCTCTTTGCATTGAGAACACCACTTTTCCGGGCGGTNTACGCTAAACTCCCGGATGAGATATTGTCTGCGCACTGGATGAACGTGACTTTGGGTTCACGGAGACTGCATGAGTTTACTCACGCGCATTGAAATCACGTCAAAACATCGAGTGTGCTGCACGGAATATACTGGCAACCTCTGGCCTCTGACAGTTTGAACTTTTTGCTGACAACACCATTTTGACTAACAAAATTAAAAATCCCACGCTTAATTAAAACTCCCCTCGTATTCCTCATTTTAGAACAAAAAAGACGTTTCGATGACTCCATGTCATTATTACTCAGTTCAAAGTACATGACAGTATTGATAATATATACGAAAAATAAAAATATATATATAATAAAAAAATATATATGAATCCTTCTATTAAGTAGGTTGCAAATTTCTTTTAACAAGTAGTGGAATAAGGCTACGAAAATAATTGTTCGTACTCGTTTAATCAAGCATGCAATTGACAAGCCTACGCACGAACGACTTGAAATACGAGACGTCTGTCTGTACTCAAAATAGAGTACGTGATATGGCTATCAGTTGTTTGTAATAATAAAACTGTATGCTAATTTATCACGATGAGCCATTCCACCGGCGCACGAAACGTATTCTAAGGTGCGCAACTGTTAATGTAAGGGACAATGCAAATAAACTGTGGTGTCATCTTTGGCGCCTTCGAGTGCTGATAAATAATAAGATAAAGACTGAAAAAAATCTTGTAAGACAGGAACTGAATGCTGTTTGTCTGGCTGTCTCGTTGTCTGTGTCTGTTTTCTGTCTCAGTCTGCAGGAAGCGGTTCATCTTTTCATCCCTGAACACCAGTAATGTCCTGGCCTACGATTTAGCATAAGGAATTCTTCAGTGGAAGCGGGAAGATCCAACAAACGAAACAGAAATTAAAAAAAAAACACGATATAACCAAGAGGCGGTGATCTTATGGAACTGATAATTAGGAGAATGTTGGAATGACAAGTTAGACGAGGGAAAGTAGTAGAAAACGGCGCAAAGTAATTAAGTATGCCAAAAAGAACCCGGAGGAAGAAAGGTAACAAGTCGGAATGAGAGAGCGACTAAGTATTTCTTGCAGACCAGATCAAAATGTCTTTCTTACAAATTGTTTTATTCTTCACGTTTCTATAGTAACACTGAAATCACAATACCGATCCGTGCTACCGCTTTGTTTAACATTACAAGTTAAATTCTAACTACATGCTTACGCTTTAAATGTGTTATTTAGCGGTTTTCTCACAAAAACTACAGCTATCGGCTCCGATCTTATGACTAATTATCAATAGAAAACACTACGCCGAGGGCTTTTCCATTGCACAGAAAAAGGAAGGTAACAAATTCGTGGTTTCAGGGTTGAGGTACACGACACACGACATCAGGGACAAAAGCAACTACGGTATTCCAAATCACGCGGAGTATCTGTTTTAAAACAGGAAGGAACAGGGAGTAGGCGGAACTAACGTGGGCAAGAAAACAACGCTTTCAGCTTCATCGTTTAGTCAACTGTGCTTCGTTACGAAATAGCAACAATTTCTAAAATTTTGCTACATCCACGTGATTCCACGGTAGCTGGAGGTTTCGCATCCAAGCGAGTTCGCACCCACATCGGCTCAACTAGCGATCAAGTGCTGCAAATTTATCTTTGTCTTACCGAGCAAAAAAGACAACATTGTGGGTATAACGAAACGAAATCACACAAAACATGTTTACATCTCGTTCTTTAATCTACAGAAGGTGAAGACGAACTCGAAATAGAAAGTATATAAATGACTTCAGGGGTGCAAACTCAGTGCGTGCGAACTCGATTAGGTGCGAAACAGGTAGCATTTGATTCCACACTTGACGAAAGTCTTCTACGCGTGTGCGTAGAAAACATTCTTTTTCCATTAACGACTACTAAGAACAGTGTAACACAGTTCTACCCCTACCATTCCCCTGTTCACTTTTTTCCCCACCATCTGCGGTTCAAGTCAGTAATTCAACTTGAGATTTTTGGGTACATTTTACACTGATCTGCATTATTTTAATTTAAAATTCGTCCTCACTGTCCTTGATTCGTTCTTTGGCGAGGAAGGCAAACTTTTCTAGCACTTGATCGATGGTTTTCTCTCCATGAACTTTGTTGTCGCGCGTACGAACGTTGACCGTGTTGGAATTTTCTTCTTTTTCGCCAACAACTGAAAGAAATGCGATGAAAAAAACATCAAGCGCAATCCTCGGAGTTCAAAAGTAATTTAACCAAAACGGACATTTAGCAAGACAAAGGCGTCATATGACCATTAAAAGTTTTGCCACTGTCGTTGTTAAATCTTCGAAATCAGCGAAGAGTTTCGTTATTGAAATGGGCTCGTGGGGCGTTTGGAAATCCGCCATCTTGGAAACTAATTACCTTCCAGCAAACGACAAATTAATGTTCGCTCATGTAAACTACACAACTGGAAACTGGCCGATTTCTGACCCAGAAATCGACCAGTTTCCAGTTGTGTAGTTTACATGAGCGAACATTAATTTGTCGTTTGATTTCTCTATCAACAATGATTTCCTTGAAGTTTAATATACCAAACATCGCTTGAATTGTGTTCGAATTGTGTTCGAATTGTGTCTGTTTTGGTGAGCGGCCAGTTAGTTACCGGTCATGTCTTACTGTCGTCGCAAGCCAAGTTACACGCTTTTTAACATTTGAGAAACAAAACAGCAAAACCTACCGAATATAAAGTTGTACTGAGCAAGTTGTGCGTTTCGTATCTTCTTGTTGAGCGTGGTGCCGTGATCAAGATCCACATCGGTCATATAACCTGCATTAAACACGGTCTTCTTGACCTGCAGGAGGACACAACAATATTCAGCACTAAAAACGAATCAAGAACGGGCATATGCTTCGAATCTCAGTTCAATATCTTCCCAGTTCAACTACTTTAGACGCATGGTTTGATCAAAGGAGGATAAAAACTTGAACTTGGAGAGCAAATGTGGCGCGCAGTTGAAGGTAGAATTGTCTATAACACTATTTCTTCAAAACCATTCGCGCGCGTTCAACACATGGTTCTTTCTCAAATGACTCAAAACACGTGCACACACGTCAGGTCGTTGTCTGAAAATCCCTCTCAAAACTATCAAAAGACGAAAAAGAACAAGACNACTTTAGACGCATGGTTTGATCAAAGGAGGATAAAAACTTGAACTTGGAGAGCAAATGTGGCGCGCAGTTGAAGGTAGAATTGTCTCTTAACACTATTTCTTCAAAACCATTCGCGCGCGTTCAACACATCGTTCTTTCTCAAATGACTCAAAACACGTGCACACACGTCAGGTCGTTGTCTGAAAATCTCTTTCAAAACTATCAAAAGACGAAAAAGAACAAGACGCGATCTCCAACACGTGCAAGAAGCGTGTAGACGTGCGTGGCGTCTAGACCTGAAAAGTTTGTGTAAACATGACAGATAAAGAAGAACAATAGCGTGATCTCCTGCACGCCTCTAAACTCTTCTAAAACCATCTTCCCACACGAGCACGTAGCGTCTAGACGCGCGTGGTGTGTTGTAGCGTTTCACGATTTTCGCATTCAAAACACGTAAACTAAAGAACACGGTCAATCTGCGCAATACTTCGCAACAGTGACGTTACTAGTACAAATAAAAATAATTCCATGACTAACTTCTTATTAAAACCTGTGATCCTATACATAAGGGAGAAAGGGACCACTTAACTTTGAAAATGATTAATTTTTGGTATTTTTTTTCTTCTTTAAGGTGGTCTGCCTTGCATGGGGATTAATGATTCATTTGATGACCATCGTTATGGCACTTTTCTTTCTTTCTTTTTCTTGTTTTTTTTTTTGATTGTATAGTATCTTACGTAGTTTTTGTAGCATAACTAAATACATACTTTGATTGCATACTCCTCATATTTCGGAGACACAGGAATCACAATGGCCTGAGTTGGTGACAGCCAGAACGGCCTGGAATTCAAACAAAAACAAATGAAATCAAGACAGAACGCACAAAATATACCTTGTGGGAAGACACTAATGATTTTATGGCAAAGTGAACCAGATTACCACTTTCCACCAAAATTCTCTGTCAATACAGCGATCATTCTCTCTACAGAGCCCAGAATCGCACGGTGAATAATGACTGGCCTTTTCTTTTCATCGCCTTCACCACTGCAACAACAACAACAAAATATATAAAAACAGAGGTGAAAAAAAAAACATTTTTTGAAGAAAGATTGAGAAAAAAAAAAGAAATGGAGTGAGAAAATGTTTGAAAGCTTTTTTCCTTTAAGAGGAAAACAATGGCCTTGTTAGTGCAGTACAGAAAATATTTGCGTGAAATACCATAAAAGTAAATCCATCTGTGACGATGGTGGTATTTTGGCCATAAAACATTTTCTGACCAGACTAACAAAGATTTTGCACTCCAGCTTAGCTCATCAACTTACAATAGTTGTTGCAAAGTCAGTAATCCTGGACTAATAAACGCTGAGCGGGTACAAACGAAATGTCCATTTTGACTGAAGCCTCATTAGTTACAAAGTATAAGAGCTTTCCAAAGAAAAAAGTTCAAATGTAAGATAACACAATAATAAGGATTTAATCTTTTTTGATGGTCTGCTTGAATACTAGAGGCAAAATGCTCTAACCTGACGTAAGTTAGGTTGAACCTTTCTGGAAGCTGGAAGTCCAGCTGAATGGTAGCACATTGATGATAGCGGCGCAGTGCATCTTGAATCTGAATGTCAATCTGTAAAGAGTGGAACAGGGCACACAGTGAGTCATGCATAATTAGGCAAATACAACAATGCAGAGTCGAAACCAGGAGACAAGTATTTTAAAATTGCAAAAGAGTATTTTTGGACAAAAACCATTCCTGGACTGACCCCAGCACCAGCATAAAAATAAAATTTCTGCTTATGACGGAAATACACTTTCATTCTCACTGACCATAAAGTCATGTTCTGTCGTCTTTGTAGTATCACACCCTGGATGTATGCCTACCTTAGTCATAGTGGGTATAAGTATGGGGAAAGTAGACTTGTTTTCTCGGAATTAAAAGAATTATCTCATGTGCCACTTAGCAAAGAGAAGATAGGTGTCAGTGAAAAGAAAAACTTTTTTGCACTGACGTAATCCACACCTAGGCATTAAGGATTTAAGCAATAGCATTTTAAATAAAGCAGTTTCAAGTTTTCAAGTAGACGAGGCCCCTCAGCCTGGCTGGGGACATTCTGTTG